AGAACTTTAGAGTATGATAATTCTTTTCGTGTTTTTTTTTTTTTTTTTTTCAAAAACATAAACTTTTATCCATAATGGAACAGAGAACTAAATGATAAACAAATAATGAACACAAAATATTTCAATGTTATTCAAGGATCGCACGAGCGAATTGGTCATTGGGAGGCTGGATGGGTCGATTGTAAAATTTAATGAAGGTTTGGGAATTAGGAGCCCATCCAGCACTACGTCTAATAGTTGGAATGTCCACGCCTCGTTTATGCGCTGCGGAAACCGCTGCGTGACGTGTGCTGTAAGCTGTAAACTGGTTGGTGTCCACACCAGCTTTGCTCAACAGCGCTTTGATCCAATGACCAATTGTTTGTGCGCCAACTGCAGCATAAGGCTTTGATGCTGAGATAAATAAGTTTTTTGTATCAACACTTCTCAAACTTTTTGTAACATCAATATACTCTAACACAGCTGAAGCTACACACAAATTAGGTTTTTCTCTAAAGAATGGCAAAATTAACTCTGGTTGAAAGGCACCAGGTTTCGTGGTCTTGATCTGATCTGGGATTTTAATTCGTAACTCCGTCTCTGACCTTTCAATATTATCTATATTGATTACAGATAATGTTTGAAGCCTTTGTGCAGTTGTCAAGGCTAATAAGGTCACAACTTTTTCTCCTAACTCTTTCGTTGATAAAATCTTGTGTGTTGCTAATTTTTCGATATAATTCAAAACTGGCGTAGTATCCCATGTAGTATTATACTTCGCTTTTGTTGGTCTCTGCTTAGACACACCTTTCATAAAACGACCAATCAAACCATCTTCATTTATGTCGTAAGTAGTAATTAGTGAGATTGATGAACGAGATGTATTTAATGTGGTGTAACTCGCACCGTCATTGAAACGTTCATTCAAAAACTGAATAATTTCGGTAGTTTTTGCATTAAATAAATCTATCCCATGCACATGGGTGAACTCCCACCATCGTTTAAGAGAGCTTTCATACTGTTTCAGTGATGATCTTGTGATGGAACTGACTATCACTTCCACAGCTTCGTCTGATAATCCTTTATTCATATACGCTGACCTGATAATTTGCCCACCACCAATGAAAGGTGGGACGCTAGCGGGTGGTTCGAGTCTCTGAAAGGAGATAATAACAAAGTTGGATTGGGTTCAAATGTGAGAACCGGTTTTACTAGAAGAGATGTAAACAAGGGATACCACGGCTGTGTGGGCCATAAAGGTACTACCATTGTTCCCTCAGCTTTATCATTAACTATTTTCCTCAGAGACCGTAGAATGAGGGCGAAGGGAGGAAATGCGTAAAAATTTTTATTTGTCCAATTGATTGTGAATGCATCAATGGCATTTGCCTCTGGGTCTGGAAATCTTGAATAGAATTTTTTGCATTTTTTATTCACTCTTGATGCGAATAAATCTACTGAGAAATTACCGAATTGTTTTTTAACCTTTTTAAAAGCCCAATCAGCTAGCTCCCACTCTGAATCTATATTGACCTCACGTGACGCCCTATCGGCTTCCGTATTTTCGGCTGAAGGAATATAAGATGCCCTTAGCCACAATTTCCTCTCTTCGCACCACTTCCAGATACTTCTTGCTAATTCACTGAGATGTGGAAATTGTATTCCACCAGCCTTGTTTACATATGAAATAGCTGTAGTGTTATCCAGACGGAGTAACACTTCACAGTGTGTTAAGTCTGATGCAAAACATTTTAGTGCAAAAAAAGCAGCCAACAGTTCAAGATAATTGATATGTTGGCTCTTTTCATGTTCGTCCCAAAATCCAAAGGCTGATTGACCATTATAATAGCAACCCCATCCAGACAGGGATGCATCTGAAAAAATTTCTCTCGAATACACCTGGGTTCTGATAGGATTTGAGCCAATAGACACGTGATCTTCCCACCAATTGAGATCCTCTGCGAGATTCTCAGTTAGTGTCAATTTTTTCTCATAGTTTCCTCCATTCATTTGTAATGTCAAAAATTTTAATCTTTCCATTCTCTTGCAATGTATAAAACCGTAAACTACAGCTGGACATGCTGCTGTTAAGGTACCTAAAAATTCTGCAAACCTTCGTATTTTGTAAGATTTATTGACTTTAAATTCATTTGTCAATTTTCTAATTTGTTCTTTCTTCTTGTTTGTTAAATTTAGAGAAAAATCGACTGAGTCAATGATAAAACCCAAATATTTACATTGTTGTTTAGCTATGAGTGAACTTTTTTCGTAATTGACAATGAGCCCTAGATGTTCTAGTAATTGAATCACTTCGTACATATTTCTCTCACAAACTTGCTTTGATTCATGTATGAAAAGAAAATCATCTAGGTACAGCACCAACAGCATTCCCTCTAATCTCAATTTATTGACAATGGGCTTCATTATTTTTGTAAAAATATAAGGGCTCGTGCATAACCCAAAAGGCAGACACGAGAATTGGAAAATTTTTCCCTCAAACCTGAATCTCAAAAATTTTTTATGTCCTTCAAATATGGGAACAAGAAAATATGCATCTTTAAGATCCATTGTCCCCATGAAATCATCTTGAGAGAGAAGATTTATAGCGGTTCTCATATCTTCGAGTTTGAAATGTGGTGGATTGATGAATTTATTTAAATTCTTCAAATTAAAAATGAATCGACTCGTGCCATCGGATTTTGGAACTAAAAAGTATGACGAAAGGAACTGCCCTGCAGAGTCTTCACATTCCTCTATCGCGCCCTTTTTTAATAACTTCTGAATTTCGACACTTAATTTCTCAGATTCTTCTCTAGAGAATTCTTTTCCCTTTGGAGCGATAGTCTGGAATGGAGTCTTAATAAATGGGATTTTGTATCCATTTAAACATTCTAAAATATATCTATCCGATGTGATGTTGCTCCATCTGTCCACAAAATAACGGAGGCGACCTGCTGGTTTCTTTACCTGCACTACCTCCTCGATGACGAGGTCCTCTTCCTCTCCGTCGGCCTGGATGAAGGGTGGGGGGTCCTGTAGGGTTTGGGTTTGAATTTCATTGGACGACGCTTTGGAACTGGACCCACCTGACGACTCCCGACAGGTGGGTATTTCGAGTTTCCCTGGTTCTTATAACCAGGAGTATACTTCAGAGCAGCTTTTTTCTTGATATTATCGCATACTTTGCCAATCTCCGTCACGCTGTTGATTTTATCTTTGAGTTTGTCCCCGTACAGTAACTCATCCGAAATCAATCTGTCGACCATTTCCTTCATGTCGTCACCTAACTTTGGGGTAATAAAAGATTTCCTTCCTACCGACTGCTGGTGGAAAACATCAACCATCATCTGGGCAGCGTGACTAATACATTCCGTCAGTTCCTCCTCATCAACGCCATCTTCGGACTGTTCTAGAAGCAAACTCATGGCCGCCCCCAAAGCAACAATCGCAGTACCAACACAGTTTTGAGTGTTCACGAAATGGTCGTCTCTCTGCTTTGGAATTCCCTTACACAAGGGAAGAACATCTTCATTTAATGCAGGTGCCTCCATGTAAAGATCTCCTTGCCTGTTGTACAATTCGATGATTTCTTTTTTATTTTTCTCAGGAAGACCTTCTTTTTTCCATTTCATCCATGTGTTTTTCAATTCTGGATGGAATTGAACTTTCTTGAATTTACAATCACTGGGGTCAGCTCCCAATAACTTTAGAGCTTCATTTTTTGCTTGTTGCTCTGATGTCTCTCTCGAAGTTCCGATTTCCTCAATCACCTGGATTTCAACGTCCTCTGGGCGTTTTGTCGGTCGATTCTCCTTCTCGCTGTCATCTAGAGACACGATAACGATTTTTTATGGCACCATCGTTCTTATTGAACTCAATTGCTGACAAATGTCTTTATTGAGGTCTTATTGACCAGACAAAACCGTATGGGTTTGTCCCTCACACTTTCGTCTGGAAAGGCAAGGTAGACATCGAGACACAGCTAATAACTTACCAGTTTTCTCGATGTCAGTAGACTTGGGTTCAGGAGGCGCTTTCAAGGTGGTCTGTACTGTTTGTACAGTCACCAGCGTCTCAACCACCTTTGTTAGGTTATCAAGTCTTTTATGCAATTCTTCGAATTTCTCATCACGTCTACTCTTCTTATGACTCCTGGATCTCGATCTGGAACGACTTCTCCTCGGCATGTTGACTCTCAAAAGAAAAAATTCGACGGAATTATTCCTTCTTTTGAGATAATACACGGCTAAACGTCTTGACGCTTCGGCACAACGAAACAATCTGAAATGGAGGGGCCGGAGAGATTCGGGAGATGGCGACGGAGGGCGCCACCCCTGCTTTTTCTTTTAAATTTGGGCGCTAAACGTTGTGAAGCTAGGCATGACAAGCATGACTACATTACTATCATCGAGAACGAGACACGTAATATAATAATGCCTATACATTCAGTTCCATTCCATTCTCATTCACAAGGGGAAATGGTAATTTATTTCATTCTGTAACAGTATGTATCATTAATATTACACAAACTTTTTGCACTTTTCGAAAATTTATATCAAGAAAGATTTTTCCATTTAGAAACAGTAGGTATTTTATATTTTCTTAATTAAGAGTCATCACAATAACTGTCACTTTCATTCAATTTTGATTCTTCGTTTTTCGTATTATTTTCACCATTTTGATTTATTTCTAAAGTGTTATCGAGCTTCTGTTTTTTATTTGACGAAGTGGACGGAATTTGAAGTGGATAAATTGCAGTTTGTAATTCTTTTCCGTTTTTCCCTTGAATTTTCTGGATGTCTTTAATTGAACTGCATTGGAAGATTGGTGGATTTACTGGAATCAATAGTTTTTTTTAGTTTTACGTATGTATATGTGAAAATACATATATATATATTTATGATTTTACGTATAATCCTTACCATCCATGTTGAATCTTCCAAGAATTTCAACTCTTTCTCTAATTTTGAAAGGACTCTCAAACGTTATAGAGAATTCCGCAATTTGAACTTGTAATTTTTTAGTATTTTCGGCTATTGCTCCGATACAGGTATTAAACATGGGATTTTGTTGATTCTTGGAAATCGCAAAATTTGTTTTTATATATCCTGAAATCTCTGAAATAGAACGATCGAACTTATCAACTGCGATGGTTTTAGAATAAAAATACATGGAATGAATAATTTTTCATCCATACTTATAAGCTCTTTAGGTTCTCTGGTCAAATCTGCGATGCTGATTGTTCCAATCTTTCGGGGTTTTGGCTGATAAGTTTTTATTTTCTTCACTTCCATGTTTGATTGAAGGATTAATTGTATAGGCATGTTACCAGTATTGTGTTTGCATCAGTTTTTGTTGCGTGTGCTCCATTGATATGAACGACCTGTCAATTATTCACATTTCTATGATTTTGGTATTGATAATATAAATTATATTTTTTTGTCTATATTTAGATTTCATTTTATATTTGGGACATTCCATGTCAACTCAGCCACCCTGGATTTTTTTGTTTCTCAGAATCCTGAATTAGCATGCTCCTAGTCAAGTACTACATGAGTACATACTTTCTCTAAATTTTTGCTCCTTTAACATTAATTGTTTGGCCAGGACAAATAACAAAAGCTCAAATATTTGAAAAATCATATTTTGCGAACAAATTGGCTGATTTTAATAAATAAAAAAAGATTTTTTTCGTTTTTTTGTATACTTTGAGACTAAAAATACAACAGTACCACAAGGATGAATACTAAGCCATTTTTTAAGTTTTTCGTTATTTTAATCCCTCTGTTTCGCAGGGGCCATTCGAAAATCGAATAATTTTTTTTTTCTTCGATGGATGATGATATTACTCAACTTTTCCGGAGTATTTCAAAATGGGATAGCCATATGGAGATGAGAAAAAAAAATGCCATGGAAAATTCGATTTTCCGATGATACATGGGACATTCCATGTCAATTCAGCTACCCTGGATATTTTCGTATTTCGGAATAGAACATCNAAGATGTGCAAATCCAATGCGAGTTCCTGGGGAGAAAGGTCACAATGGAAGACCTGCATTCAATCTCAGAAAGACTACGACAGACATTTCCATTCTTGCCAGAAAATGCAAAAATATGTAGCTCCTGTAGGAAAAGAGCTTTGACTTACATTCCTGGATTACTACCCTCTGAATCTTCATCGGATCGAGAAGTCTCTTCATCGTCATCAAATGTTTCAGCCGATCGTTTGTCCAGTGCCACACCATTTCTAGTAGACATTTCTACGAGCAATATCGCAGGGAGTTCTTTGAGGTCAGGTAATTCCTTCCATTCAATCAATCCTGATGGGGATATGATTTTCAACGAAGCTTCAGAGAAGTACGATGCTCTAACAGCAGATGATGATTCAGAGACAGAGCACCACAGGAACATTCCAGCAAATTTTCGTTCTCCACGGGAATTGGAATTGGAAGAAATGTTGGATGGACTCAAGCAAAAATTGAATACGATGACAGAATATTCTGAACGTATTCAACTCTTGACTATTGCTCCACCTTCATGGAGTGAGCGAAAGGTGAGCCGTGAATTGGGTACGACAAGGTACATAGTTATGAGAGCAAAACAACTGCGAGAACAGAGAGGAATATTTGCTTCAACAGTTGCGAAGGCTGGTAAATCCTTGCCCAAAGAGACAGTTGAAAAGGTCCGGAGTTTTTATGAGAGTAATGGTCGGATGATGCCAGGGATGAAGGATAAAGTGTCAGTTAGAATCAACGACGTGAAGAAAATGATGCAGAAGCGGGTGGTCCTCGAGAACTTGAATGGTCTTCATGAGAAATATAAAATTGCTCATCCAGAGTCTCCGGTGGGATTCAGCAAGTTTGCGGAATTGAGGCCGAAACACTTTGTATTGTCAGGAGCGAATGGTACGCACGTGGTATGTGTCTGTACCTATCATCAAAATTGTGAGCTGATGTTCGATTCAATCAACCTTTCTACACTCACTAAAAACTCATCATGTCCCCTTACCGACTATAAAGACTGTCTTGCAAGACTCACTCGTGCCCTGATCCAACGCCTGAATGCCACTTAGATGAGTGTAAAAACTGTCCTGGAGTTGAAGGATTATCGCTCGAGCTGAAAGAACTCCTCCACGATGGTGTGATTGAAACTGTAGAATTCAGGACTTGGCAATCTGTGGATAGAACAACATTACAGACCCAGAGACTTCCAGTGTATGAATTTGTTGATGTACTTTGTGAGAGATTTAAAGTATTGAAATCTCATCATTTTATTGCCATACAACAAAACGCTTTCGTGAAAGAACGAAAGGGGAATTTAATTGAGGGTGAAATTCTAGTGCAGGCCGATTTTTCGGAGAATTATTCTTTCGTAGCTCAAGACGCTGCTCAATCGTTCCATTACAACAATGATCAATGCACTGTCCATCCTGTGGTGTATTATTATCGCCACGGCAATGATATTCGACATAGAAGTCTAGTCCTCTTATCTGACAGTCTCATTCACGATACTACTGCAGTTCATTTAATGCAACAGATTCTGATCCGACACATAAAACAAGTCTGTGATGTCGTAAACAAATTGATCTATGTTACACATGGTGCTGGACAGCACTATAAGAATTGATATAACATGGCTAATCTTTTGTTGCATAAAAATGATTTTGGAGTTGAAGCAGAGGCGCACTATCATGCGACCGCGCATGGAAAGACGGCATGCTATGGCGTAGGCGCAGTCTTGAGAAAGCAAGACGAAGAAGTCTCCAAATTACTAATGGTGAACCTATTCTCACTCCAGATGGTCTGTTCCAGTGGGCAAAGAATAATTTCAAGGATCTCGATGTGTTTTTCTACACTAAACAGGAACACGAGGATACGAAAGACCGGTTGAAAACAAGATTCGACAGTGCAAAGAAGATTCCAGCGATACAAAAAAATCACGGCTTCATTCCTGTGGAAGAAAAGGAATTATTGATTAAGAGATATTCTTCTGCGACTACGGGAGAAGTTTTTCCAAAGGCGAAGAAACGAAATGGATGACGTACATTAAGATAGCCATTGTGATTCAGAAAATTTCGATTTCAAATTGCTTTTTCTCTATAATTTAATGTTTATTTTTCAAATTACAAACTTGAAACAGACATATACTCCATGTTGATCTAAAAACTCATCAAATATTTGGTACTTTGCGAATTCTCATTGTCGTTTACGTAAGTAGAGCTGTTAATAATCAATAAATTCAACTTTGTTCTATATAAAACGTTTTTTATCCATCACTACTTATGCATCTCATCTTCAAATTATGCCAAAAAATTGCACGCTCATCCTTTCATGAGGCATTCATCATTTTTCAGGAACAAAATTCGTAAAATCTAATTTTTCAAGAGAGAAAAAATATTCTCTCATCTCCATATGGCTATCCCATTTTGAAATACCCCGAAAAAGTCGAGTAATATCATTATCCATCGAAGAAAAAAAAAATATTCGATTTTCGAATGGGCCCTGCATAACAGAAGGATTTAAATAACAAAAAACTTAAAAAATGACTCATTATTCGTCCTCGTAGTACTGTCGTTTTTTTATTCCAAAAGCGTATGAGAAAACGAAAAAAATCTTTTTTTATTCATCAAATTCGGCCAATTTGTTCGCAAGATATGATTTTAAAAAAATTTGAGCTTTTGTTATTTGTCCTGGCCAAACAATCAATGTTAAAGTAGTGAAAATTTAGAGAAAGTATGTAGTCATGAAGTACTTGACTGGGAGCATGCTAATTCAAGATTCTGAGAACCAAAAAACTCCAGGGTGGCTGAGTTGACATGGAATGTCCCATTTGAGAATCGTTGACTGTGAGTTTGCAGAAAAACTATATTGAAAAAATATCAAATATCTTTTTTTTCGGAAAATTTTCGAAGATTTTCCTAAAATAATATATTGATAATTAATATTTACGTTGTTGATACAGAGCACAGATTTTACTCGTGTAACTACGTCGTTCCACGCAACTACTTTGATAGATCTCTCATCATCTTCAGTTGAAACTGTGAACGATTGAACTAATTTATTTCCTTTTGCGTATCGATGTGCCTCAATTCCGCTTACGTATCCCACGATCTCACTGAAAGGAAAATTTCTGAATCGTTGTTATAGGATGACCATGAAATTGTCGGCAACTCCCCTCACCCTGACAGCCCCTAGTTGCACCCCTTCCCTCCTTTCCTCAGTTTTTCTACGTCGATCATTATTAATAGAAAAAGATGTTCAACTCAAGTATATTTATGATTTGAAATGAAAAAATGAAATTCAGATATTTCCAAAGTTTCATTCGGAAAAGGAAAATGGAAAGAAGGAATAAATTTTGACGTTTTTGTTTGTGTATAGAGGGTTATAAGAGGCATTATATTCACTTACACAACTTTATCTCCTATTTGAATTTGGTCCATTTCCTCCGTTGTGGTAAATTCAAGATCGTCATCAGAATCACTTTCTAAATTTTCCTTTGGATGCTCCGTTTTTATTTCATTGAAAATTCGGGAATAAAATGAATATGTCAAATGAGTGATTTGTGTGTATGGCAATATATATGAAACACAATGAAAGTCGGGGTAGATCTTCAAGTCTTTCCGCTAATATCCATAGGTTTCGAAAATTCAAATTCCACTCATAAATTATCTTTTATAGATTTTTGATTTTCCCTGTACTGCTTTCACTGTTAAAAAATTTAAACTGAATTTTCCAGGTTTTGACCTGGAAATATGACAGTTTCACTGAAATTTCAGGAAATTTTATCACTCGAAATCCAAGATTTCCGAGGAAGAATCAATGGAAACTGAAAATTTCAGTTCAATTATTGCATAAAAATGAATGGAAATTAGGAAAATTCAAGGAAAACTATCCTTGAATTTTCGATTCCTCTAAATTTCAGAGAAAATCTTCGTTATGAACTGGAAAATCTACACGCGCAAGGAGAAAGCTCTTCAAACATGAAAATGTCAAATTCTTCGAAATAAGGCTAAAATCCCGATTTCCATTTTTCAAAGAGGGGGCGGAAAAAAATAGTTATGCGCATCCTATCGGATCGTAATAGGGCCTAAAATCTTCGTTATGACCTGTAGAATACACACGCAGAAGGAGGACGCGCCTCAAGCTGTGCAAGTGGGTGACTCATAGGTTTGAATATTGAAATGACAAAATTCCTTGAAATTTGCCTGAAATTCCGATCCACATTTTCCAAAGAGATGGCTCAAAAAAATAGTTATCTACACCCTTTCGGATTGTAATGGGGCTTAAAATCTTCGTTATGACCTGGAGAATGTACACGCGGAAGGAGAAAGCGCCTCAAGCTGTACAAGTGGTCCATTCACAGGTTTGAACATCGAAATGTTGGTGAGTCATGGTGACATTACGTCACTTATGATTTTCCACTTTTTCCATGTAGGCTCGTTTCACTGACTTACCTGGCAATTATCGACGTAATTTGACGTTATTTGACGTCTAGTTGATCAGAAAATGATCATCATGAAGTGCTGAAGGCGAAATCGAGATTCACTTCTCAACCAGACTGCAATCTATAATTTTTTGTGTAGGAAATATTCCTGATTTCACGAAAACAAATAGGCAAGATTTTATTTGAAGCCTATTCCCGAGTTATATATTTTTCTATTATGGTTACAGCCCTCTCACCACTGTCCCTGGAGTTCCCTTCTCGTTCAGCATTGCCTTTACCTGAAACTGACGAATAACGATGGGTATATATCCTCAAGTTTATTTCGAGAATGAAGTCAGAAACATTCACCTGTTTCTTTTTGTAAGTTGATGATTATATTGATGACAGCAAATCAAAATGAATTTTGATGACTCAAAATTGTTCTCTGTGGTTGAGAATTTTCCGGGTTTCCGATGGAATGAATCCTGCGAAGGTTCTCTTCTTCATTTGGTAATGACTGATGATTTGACTTGTACATTTGTTGTTTCTATCTTATTTCGTTCTTGAATGTCTACACCAATCTACTTTTCTTCCAATAATTCGCGATAGACATAGTTTTTTATGCTATTCCTGTTTCGTTGATTTCCCAACTAAATTCTTAATGATCCCCATGATCGGACTCGAGACATAGCCACATATAACTGTCCGTGACTGAACACATCTCTTCTCAAATCTATGCCGATTTTCTCGAATGTTTGACCTTGAGATTTATTGATAGTTATTGCAAATGCCAGTCTGATTGGAAATTATCTTCGGGTGAAAGTGAATGGGTAAATATTTTCACAAGTGAGAGTGATCCGATGAAGAAAAACAATTTCTCCTTTCTTATTACCAGTTAAAATTTCACATCGGGGAATATTCACACCTAGTTCCAAAACCAATAACCGCGTCCCATTACATAATCCTTCATTGATGCTCAAATTTCTGATCAGCATCACGATACCGAATTGCCTCAATCGTAGCTCATGTGGAAAGGAAGGAGTTGACGGAAATTTCCACCTAATATAATAACCTTTCGCCCAAAGAGTTTCTCCTTATTCATTATGCAACGTAATATTCGATCCATTATTTCTAAGGCATAACGTGGTGCCATAGGAGTTTCGTCCCAAATAAACATATCTGTGTTTTCCAAAATGTTTGCTTCATCTTAATAGAAGAAACCAAATCGGAATATAAGGGTACTGGTAATCCAAATGTCCTGTGAACAGTTTTTCCTTGAGGCAGCAGAGTCGCAGCGATGCCTGTGAATGCCACGGTGTTCACTTTTTTCTCCATCCCAATCAATAAATGCCATAAAGTCGTGTATAAGAACGTCTTTCCTGATTCGCCGGGTCCATCGATGTAGAAGCATTTACGGGAGTTTTCTCTCATTTTACTCGTAACAAAATGAATTTCGTCAATTATTCTCTTCTGATCGTTATTTGAACATTCATAAAGGGCTAATCCTTTCTTTCGTATTTGCTCCAAGTCAATTTCATTAACCAAATCTCCCATATTATTGATAGCAATTGGCATGAACTGGAAATCTTTCAAACTTTTTCCTTTCTGATTCAAATATGATTCAATAGTTATCAAACTTTTTTGCTGGGCCGATGCTGAATCCATATTTCTTGAAAAATCTTCTGAGATAGACTCCTTGAATTCACTCCATAATTTTTCCGGGTACAATGGACTACAATGTATTAGAATTCGTGTGAACAATCTTCGCAACTGTGATGGCATCATCCATATTTCAGCTTCTCGCATGGCACGATTCCATTCTTCATCATTGGCAACCAATTCTAATGCCACACATGCTGATGTGAATGATGGATGTTGATATCTGTTTACACCTCTTAATATTCCAAAACTCGTGTATAGTTCGAAATGATCCCTGTCGTCTTGTCCATTCTCCTTTGTATTTTCCGTTGCTCTTGGTCTTCCTGAAAGTGTAGGGCATCGATATGTCAACATAAAGGTGATTGCGAGCACTCTCATCTCGACAATTTAATGCGAAATAATCTATCAACATATTTTTCTGGTCTACAATGTCGTTCAAAGTTAGTCTTTCAGTGTCAGAGTTTATCGTTACTCGTTACGCGCCTGGCAAATGAATCGGTAACCGAATCACTGGATGACTTTTTCCATACAATTCTTTCCCCTGAATCCTGCAGCATGCTTCTACAGGTCCGACTTAACGGGCTTCCTCATGTTCATTGATTTCATCATGTATGATTTCCGTTTCACTAGTGTTGATAGCAGTTCCATGTATTGATATTGAAGCAGAATCATGTCCTTTATAAATATACAAGTAAAGATATTTGACAGATTTAATGCTTGAGCCCACTTCCACGTTGCAATGACAATTGAATATTGTCAACAATTTTGGAGAATAAGGAACTACGAAATGATTATCTACGATGTAATTATTAGCACTTTCATAAAATTTGCCAGTTTCTTGTCTTCTGTAACAGGGATAACCGTTTTTGTCCAGTATCGTTCTCTGTTGGAATGATTTCGAAAAGTGTTTCGTGCACTTTTCATTCTCGAAACAGCAGTTTCCACAAGGACCATGTATCATGTTCTTCATCACTATTGGAAATAGTTCCGGCTCTTCCTCGGGATCAGGTATTTCTGCAGAAATCAAGCTGTCAACTACTTCAGGGAAGGTTATTTTATAATTTCTTTGTAAAGTCACTAATGGATGGATGTGTGGCGATCCACGTTTTTGAAATTCGACGACATATACCCATGCCTGCACTTTTCCAAATATTTTCCCCGAAGTAATAATGTCCAAGAGAGCATTCTTTTTCACATCGAATAGTCGTGAGACAATATCAGGGCGGTCACATAGTTGTTCTCCAAAGCGTTAATTTTCTCTAATTTCTTTCCAATTGGGATTACAGGTCATGGTGACGAACAAATCTGGTTTTCCCTATTTCCTCACGACAGCCATGGCGTCTTGATAATTTTGAGCCATATTTCGTGGTGATCCTATGAATGTCGAATGTAGAATGACCAATTTTCATATCTTTTTCCCTGCTTCGTGTGCTTTCGTTTCCACATAATCATTGACATTTTGATATGTATCAGCTCTTAACTTATCTTGATGGTATCTACAATATGCGAGGCAATCTTTCTCAACTTTCATGTAACTGTCAACTATCCACTGTTGAAATAAACGACCTCCTCTCAAAATTGGATTGAATGTATCGCGAAAAGCTATTAAATTCCTGGTGTAATCTGTTCTCGTAATTCGTCTTGTACGATTCAAATGACACATATCTTTATGCCAGCCTTCATTTCCAGACGGATAAAATAAGGGGTATATGAAAGGCTCTGCTTTGGGATCCATCGAACTAATTGTCTCCAATTTCTCAGTTGATTCATTACGAATAGTTATGAACGTATCGGGTATATCACCATCAGCAGTTGTGAAAATAATAGCCACTTCATCGAATTGTTGTGGATTATAACGACGTGTGTCCATACCTCTTTATGGTAAGAAAGACATCTGCACTGCAGGCATTGGTTTTCCAGCTCTTCTCGCTCTCTTCTCGAGTCTTTCGATTTCTTTTTTCATTACTGTGTAAGATTTTGCAAATACATTTTTTGACCGAATAATTTGATCAACAATAGTTAAGTTCTCCATTTAAATCTGGCATTGCATGAATCTTTTCTTGATTTGCATCGTCCGAATCCAAAATGAATTACTGTCCATATGTTGCTGCTTTGTCAGGTTCTGATCGAAATGCCGTATTCATTTGGTAGTAAATCTGTCCTCTTATCTTGAAACAATACGGCCCCAAACGTTGTCCATGAAAATTTACTAAGCGCGTATTAAAAGATGCAAATGAAAATGATGAGTTATAACTTCGAATGCGATTCAAGAATTCACTCGACAGTTCATGTTCTCTGTCAAATAATTGTTGTAGTACTTGAGCAAAATCATTGAAAGCCACTGGTGGCACAGCTCCATGCCTGCAGCAATCACCGAATGATCGTAGATCTATCTTGTTATTTACCATTTTTTTGGAAAAATGTAATGCCCCGCAATGACAGCACTTTACGGCCATGCGACCAGTATAATGCTCTTCGTCACTAACAACTTTTCTCTTTCTTCTTACTCGGTATCTTTTTACTCGATCAATTACTGACTTCGATAATTTTTTGTTACCAATTGCCACATGCCTTCTTTGTTGACTTCCCCTTTTCTTTGCTCTCTGACGCGATTCAAAAATCTCCGGTTGTCGAGAATTTCGAGTA